CTTAGCATACAAAACTTCGAAATTTAACTTTGTCTTCAGGAACTGAACCTCAGACCTTACACCGTAAAGATACATTAGGGCAAGGAAATGTCTTTAATCCTTTACGTTTTTAAGAATATATCATTATCAAAGCTATCAGAAAAAAAAAATTTCTGTTAAGCATCTGCGCTCAGCCGCCTCAGCTACGGGCGTAGTCTACGTAAAAATCCACCATTCGATTGCTTTTGTTTCTCTTTTGACACACTCACGTTCTTTATGTATTCGCCTACTTTATCCCACGTTTCTTTGAAGGTAAGTTACATGACTGAGTTGAAAAAGGATGAGTCTTAGAAGGTTAAAAAACTAAATAAACTTCACAAACCTAACGATGCCTTAAAAGCTTAAATTAGAAAGCGCAACTATAGAAGCAAAATTTTATTTAAAAATTTTGAGAACCCTTACCCCTTATGTTAAAAAAAATTAGTATATTATATGTTAGTTTGAGTAGACTAGAAATATTCGATGTAAGATATTGGCATCTTCTTAATAATTGACGCCAATTTCCAATGAAAATTCTCACAACATTTTATGAAGCTAGGGAAGCGGTACTCTAAATATGCGGCTAGCAGAAAGGCCTCTCGAGAGGCTGGTGGTAGGCGAAAGAGGGGGAGAGACCCTCGAACCCGTCCCCTTTAAGTGCTCTCCCTCAAAAATGGAGGAGGAACTGAGCTAAGTCTAGCTGTCACCTATATGGTGTTCCAGACTCATGCCAACGACAAGCGCATTTGACTCCTTGCCACGATGAATGCCATGGGCTTGTGTTGACCATCTCAGACAAGTGAGATTGGGAACAACAACAACACCTAGCTGCATGGTTGTTTTCATGATTTTCCCTGTGGGCAACATTTATTCGAGGCCGTATTCCTTAGTGGATCCTTTATGAAAGTATCATTTCCCTTAATCAAATGCCTTTTGTGTACTTTACCTTAGTAAATTAGGTAAATTTTAGTGGCTAATTGACATGATATATAACTGACGCCCTATATAACTGACATGAAGTCCGACTTCATGTCAGTTATACAGGGCGCAAATATATTTAAAACCTTAATCGTTGAAAAATTTACCTTTCCTAATGCCAAGATGTTGCTGCTTGAAAGAACTTCCTCTCTAACAATGCTCAATTTACTGTCTAGCTATCTAACCATTAAAAGGTTTTGAATGCAATCATTGGAAAAAGTGAAGTATCGCCTGATACAGCTACCGAACAAGAGGCCATTTGGAGGAACTTTCTGCCATGATACTCTCAGTAATAATAATATCGGTATAATTTCATAATATGCTCGATAAGTTCATTTCTTGAAATATCAGCGAATTTTATTCCAGTCATGAATCTAGTCAATGGGAAAAAATGAATAATCGGCTGACATAATTACCATGCAAGTGCAAAAGCGAAGGGCTTGTAAATGCAAGATACAAGGATTCAGGTAAATTATCAATCGGATTAATCATGTGCGCTAAACCAGCTGCCTATAGTTACCTGTTCAAGAGAGACATTGTGGATAGACTTAACAACAGTCAGAAAAAAGAATGAAATTTTAGTTAACAGTTAGCAAGTTTCTGAAAACCTAAGTTCAAATAATAAACGGTATTTATGCAGTTCGTCAAAATTACAGGAATATACTTAACTGTTACCCATCGAAAAAATGATTAAATGCAATTTGTACAAAAACAATATTTAACTTGCTTATTAGCTTATTAGCAATATTTCACTTTAATGAGTTGCTGAAAGTATCTCTAGTTTAAATATACTTCAAATGCAGAAATATTTGTTCAAAAAGTCTGTGAAACATTAATCTCTTTCTTATGCAGAAAGCCATGTTACCTGGAACACAGGATTTTTTAAATTATTTATTTAAAGTGAAGTTAACTCAAAATTTCTCACCTGCGTAAAAATTTTAATGCCGGCAACTATATGGAAAGCCAAAGAATTATAATTTTTTTAGAGCTAACGAAACCTCGAGGGACAGAAACACGCTCTGACTTACAATTCCAAAATATCAGCTTAAGTAAACTCCAATTATCCGAATCAATAGGGGAAGGATCCTATTCGGATAGTTGGAATTTTTCCGAAGAAACGTCTACGTACACTTAAATTATTGTATGTACCGTTTGTTGAAAATGGATTGAAAAAACTATTTTTAAAGAAAAAGAGATTTTAATTAATTAAAATGAAAAGGTAACACTTTTGCGTACATGTTATATGGGGTACTTATAAGCGCGTATACAGTACTTACAAGTGCTGAAAGTCATTGCTTGCTGAACATCTCAGTCAAAGTAAGCTGTTTCACGGACACCGTGCCTGCACTTAAAATTTCTTAGCCAGCCGTTACTTGTTTTAACCCTTTCTGGCACGCTACCTTTTAAAGTTGGAGTTTTGATTAAAAAAAAAAAGAGGTAGGCAGTCTAATTAGGCCTAGAGGAGTACACAAGTAAAATTTTGTGAAGAGAGCACTTATCGTTTAGTTATGTGGGTGTGCCCAAAGTGGGCCCACTGATTGAATAGAGCTTCGAGAAGAGTGCTGAAACGAGCATTGTTGTGAATGAACTGACCAATGAGATGCGGAGAAACAAAGAATACAGACTCTCAGTTGTCCTAGATTATCGGTGCGCCCGGTCTGGGCACACCTAGGGTTCGCCGTTTGATTTTAGGCAAGATTTCAAGGTAAAAATTTAAAACTAATATGGAATAAGTAGATTAGCATGCAGCCATAAAAATAACAAATGAATTTCTTTTCAAACACTTCCTTTTATACCCTAAAAAAATGGAAGATTTCTTTGAAAAATGAGGGTCTTAAAAAACTAAACATGGCTAAAATATATGGAATGGTTTGTGTTGAGCTGCCATCTACTATAAACAAAGAAGGTTCAGAGTAACCTATAGTAACCTATAAATCCTTTTTCATTCAATTTTTCTGTGCGTACAGAAGGAAATTTTTAGGTGTGTCCAGACCGGACACACTGTGCCGCAAAGGGTTAACGGATGAACAACCAAGCTTTTGAGCTATGATCTTAGCTTTTTCACAAAGAATCGGACCCCTAAATGAATTTCCCATAGGAAGCTGCTGCAAAAACCACTTGCAAACGACATCTTCTAAATTTTTGTTTGTTGATGCATTAATGTTCTTGAAGAACTTCCATCTTCGTTTTCAAGCAAGTGACACGAAGTATAAAAGTGTAGGTTTGCTCCTTTTAATGTCTGAAATCGTTGATTGTCCAACACTACGCTTCCGTCTTAATTTTTTTTCTTAAACTCTGAAAGCGATTCGGATAGTCGGAGTTCGGATAATTGGAGTTGTACTGGTTTTTGAAACTAAATTTGCACTCTGGTGGGGAACCTGAAGGGAGAAGTGACAGGAAAGGTCTAAATCATAATAACTGGTTAGATAACCATCATGGAGCGTTACAAGCTGTTTCCAGCATTAACCACCAAGTATGTTAAAATTATCGCATCCGTGTATATAGAAATAGCACGTTCAGTTCACAGCTGTAAAATCCGTGGTTCCAATTCACGCTAGGTTGCGGCTGATTTTTCATGTTTCTTTCTTCAAAAAGGACAGTAGCTCCTGGATGGACTATAACTCGTCAGTATCTAGATGTTGTCAACTGAGTTTCGTTCTACTTGTCAGTCCCCCTTATAAGTTATAAATTTTTCACGAAATCTTTCTCTGCATTCTGCGATATAAGGTACTGAAAATAAATATTCCATACTCCAAATTGTTAGAACCTTTAAAACAATATAATGTCATCAATCAAATTTTGCGTAATCTAAAACACTAGTCTAACTTCCCTGGACCAGCCTAACGAATTATGCTATCATTTTTACTCTTTAATACCAGAGTACTAAAAAAATACAGCAACGTAAACAACTGAAGAATTTTTTTGAACTTCTTCTTAAAGTTGTTAAAATTAAACAATTAACAAAATTAACTTATTCTTCTTTCGGGATGGACAGACAACAACGAGTTAAAGTATTTATAAGTTCAACTTTAAATTCAAACTCTAACAATCTAGCTTCTCTACCTCGCAACTACTAATGAAATTTCATTCAAAGACAAACTCACTAAACAACAGCCCTAAGAACTGTCAATAACTAAGGAGTTTCGCTACAAAAGGCGGAAAATTTTATATTCCTAGTAATATCCTTAAATGCATTATACGTCATTTTAAAAAGACTATTCGTTTAAAAGTTGAGAGTGTACTGTGAAATTCGTCGTAGAAAATGAATCTTACGTCATCTTATGTTAATCTCTTATCATCGAAGAAAATGAGCCATTTTCAAGATTGCTGATTATTTGCTACAAAAAGCGTAGGCAATACATACTCATTTTCTAGTATCTATATGAGATCTATGTCTGAAATTTGCAATCCAGTCCCGTCACTAATGTAAATGCTTGTAAATAGTGGGCAGAGCGCAAAGTCATTTAAAGTGTTCTGTGCAATCACTATACAGAAACAGTGTTACAATTTAGTTATTTGAGAAAAGGAAAAGATTTTTGACTACTTTTGATAGTGAATATTTTATCACGCTAATGGAAATTTCACATAACCTTTTTTTTTTTTTTTTTTATGTTATTTTTGTTGTCGTTACTTCCAAATTTAGTTAACTCAGCGGAATATAAATAATATGAAAGGTACTTTCCTGGACCGACATCACATTCAGAGACATAACAAAAGTGAAATTTTTAGAAAGTAATTAATTGCCGTAAGATGTTTTTCTGGATTTTAGTTTGCAATTTATCCTTCAGTTCTGCGTTGTAAATTAATTCTGGAAGTGTCTGGGCTAATATCACTTTCACGTTTGAGACTTGCTTTAATTGCGAAAGTAAGTGTTATAGATATTTGTTGGTAATGACGTATGTTCAATGCACATGTATGCTAATAATTGTCCATCCAGAGTTAATGTCATGGAACATCATCTCTAAAATTTGTCTTTTCATCTTCCTTAAAATTTGTCTTTTCAGAGTTAAATAATGGAACAGCAACTCCTGCAAATGAATCAAAAGCTGAGATTCAAGTTACATCGTTGGTAAATAATACAGAAGAAGTCACAGATAAAGAAACCAGTTCAGGCAGTAGATTGAACTATGCCAGGATATTACCTGAAAGAACGACTTTAGGGTATGAAGAGTGGTGGTTTCTTACTACTAGGAGGCCTATAATTTCATTTAAAGACTTTCCTGGGCGCCCTGGAGGTACGTAATTCTTCTCAGATTATTAGGTGTAATATTAAAGAAATATTCAACAGAAAAATGAAAATTAGAATTTAGTTATGTTATAAAGATAATGCAACTTAAAATTTACTATCTGTAAACGAAATCACCTACTGAAAGTTTTTAGTTTAATATACTTCAAATGCAGAAAATATTTGTTCAAAAAGTCTGTGAAACATCAATCGTGTTTCCATATGCAGAACCATATGTTAACTGGAGTAAAGGATTTTTTTTAAATGTAACAGTAACATTTAAAACGTAACAAGATGTACAAAACTTATATGCAAAAACCAAGAAACTGAGGACATCAGCATTTGTTTTCTCAAAGTAGTGACTATGAAAGGAAGCTGAAGATGAGATTTTTTATTATTATAGTATTAAGAAAAACGCAGTATGTAGGAAAGCAAAGATATTTATTTCTCGTCAGTATTTTCTCCCCCCCCCTTTTTTTTTTAAACTTTAGGCAATTTTTTTACGTCAAGGATTTTTGATTTTATTTCTCCATAAAAAATCAAAAGCCAAAACGGAAGTTATAAAAATTTACCAATATTTATAGTTAAATGAAATATAGCATTAAAAGCTGCTTAAATGTTAAAGTATAAATAAGCAAAATTCATAAGTTAAACAAATTTGTAGGAAATACCTATACCAGTTTTGCGCAAGCGCTATATAATAGTGAGAATAAGAATATGCCAGAAGATCTAAAATTGGGTTAAGGTAGCATATAAAATATTGTACAAAAAAGTGAACGAATAAGGTAAACAGGGCATGCAATATAAAGGATCGTAAATGTCTGCTCTCAGAGTCTAACGTGACAGATTAATGTAATGCTTATGCAGTAAACCCTTGCTGAATGCGGAGGTTACATCATTAACACATTGCACTCACAGCAAAATTAAGTTTGGCAAAGTTAATTTTCCATAGAAATAAAGGGTTTGGTATAGTTCAGATTAAGAAAGTGTGTATAATTTATGTGAACCTAAATATTATTGCAATTGAAAGGGGAAAATTAAACAAATGTTAATTAAAAGGATTTCTATTGCTGTTTAATAAGTAGGTGCATGCTATAAGTATTTTTTTAAATAGCTGATATTCTTTGCTTGCAACAGTCTGACACAAATCATTAAATGTTTCTCTGTAAGGAGTTCAAAAATTTTCACCTCTCATAAAGTGTCCTCTTCTTTTACCATTTCAAAATCAGACAGTTCCTGTGCCTTTTTTAACGATTAGTTTAACTTCTTGTAAGTTAAACGCTCTTAATCTTCTTCACTATCTCTGCTTTCGTTGCAGACTGTGTTTTATAAAAACATCCAGTTCTTCATATGTCATTTCACGACAGTCATTCTCGACTAATTCCTTAACTTCCCCTTCTTCCCCATCTAAAAATCCTTGCCGCCTATCGCTTTTGCAGCTTGTGCGATTTCCTCAATTCATGTTCAGTTGATAGAAATCTTTTAAAACCATTGATAACTTCTGGCAGCCGCTGATATCAGCAAGCGTTCACTGTTGATTTTGTCAACATTTGCTAATTTAATAATTCCTATGCGGTGTCTTACGTTGAATTGCTTTAAAAATGCAATTAGTATTTCACGCTTTCCTTCGTCTAGTGCTTTATTTGCAGAGATGAAAACATGCCTGACATAATAGGCTTTAAATGCTTTTATGATTCTTTCATTCATTGGTCGTATTAAGGAAGCGATTTTTGGTGGAAGAAACAAAACCTCTAGTAATGTTGGGAGGGCTTCAGCACCGTGTCCTAGAGCATTATCAATAACTAGGAGAACTTTAAAAATAAAGGTTTTGCTGTTTAAGATAATATTTGAATTCTTTAATGAATGAATTTTCAAACCAGTCTTTAAAGAGGACTGTGGCAACGCGGCCGACGCTCTTCAGCGTACCACGTGCAATTGAAATTCTCGCATTGGACAAATTAAATGAAGACAATTAAGAAAATGAGTATACACAAATTCACGTTCCCCAAGCTCACATTCGGCAAGGCTTTACAGTATTCAAGAAAACATGTCATACGATACTAATGAAATTGCAGCGTGAAGCATACATTACTCAGGCAAGAAGGATATAAAACCGTGTTCTGGGCATTGTCAAGAATTAGGAGAACTTTAAAGATCAGGTTTTTCTATCTTAAGCAATTTTTGACTTCTTTAATAAATGAATTTTCAAAACAGTCATTAAAGAGGAATGTCACAACGCGGCCGATGCTCATCAGCGTACCGCGCATAATTGAAATTCTCGCGTTCCACAAATTAAATGGCGACAGTTAAGAAAATTAGTATACGCCAGCTATTCTACAAGGGTTTATTGTAGTCAAAACTTATATGGCACTAATGAAATTGAAGTGTGAAACGTACATTACTTAAGCAAGCAGTATATAAACTTCTGTAAAGAGAAGAGAGGAGAACATTGGATCAATTGTCAGCAAGTCCAATAATAGAAGCTACATCCATTTCAAATAGATAAACTATATGAGAAATTTGAAACATTGTAGACCTTGTTATTGTAACTATACAAAACTTTGTCGATCATATTTAACACCTAGCTGGAAAAAACATACTTCTAAGTCTCTCCTCAAAACTAAAGCGTCATTTTTACGCCAGCATAAACTGATGGTTTGATGAAAAATGAAATACTTTAGCATGGTATTAAAAAAGAATTCTGACGAGTTGGTAAGTTTTCGTTATATTTGCATGATTTTAAAAGGGATCGTTACTCATGGAATGAAGTTGTAGAATAGATATAGCAGTAGTTGGAAGAAGAAACAAATGATTTCATAAAATGTCCAATGTACAGGGCTTGACAGGCGAAATAATTGTCAAGCGCTACTTTCCAGTGGCAAAAATTCTTTACCCTTGATTTGAAAATGTGGCAGTTTAGAATAACTATTTTATTTCACATACTTCTTTCTTAATCTTAAATGTAACTGAAAAAAGAAAAAAGAAAGAAACTAGCATTCAAACTGACACAGGAAACAATTTAATGAAAAGTAAGAAGAGCAACGGGTTGAGTGGGTAGGAATATTAGCTACACAATACGCTATTAGATAATAGCAACAAATTATTACCTACAGTTCGAAACATCAAAAAGTAGCTATTGCAAGTGCGATTGAATAACTGAAGTTTTGTTGCAGAAAATGTTTTAGTAATTTGTAGTGATTTTGACCCTAGGATTATTGTTGTATATATGATAGTTTCGGTTAATAAATAAGAATTTCTCTGTCACTCTCCATTCTCCATAATTTCTTTGTCAGTTTTTAGTTTAAATGTGTCCATTGATGCTTTTGCTCTATATCAGAGATCAGATTAGCTGCTTTCCTCAAACCGAGCACGCATTGTCCTGATCCACCAGTCTGTCTTCAGCGGTCTTGCTGATGACCTTAATTTGTCAAAAAACATATCAGACTGAGATTGGTGGGTTCAAATTAAAAGAATGGAATTTTATACAAAATACTGCAAGTAGAAAGTATTATTTGTTAAAGTTAAAAAAGGGAACTGTGGTACATTTATCGAGAGCCACAAGTAATCCTTCAAAGAGCCGCATGTGGCTCGCGAGCCGCAGGTTGGCCACCCCTGATATATATTAACAACTTTAAGTTTGGGGAGGGGGCAGAACAACAGAATTCTGAAGACTACATGCTGTTTCTCGAAAATAAGTTTAAAAGCAGTTATACTCCATATTAAAAACTGATTATCACTGAATACCACTTGCTTATGCTCCACATAACAAGAAACCTTGCAAAACAATGAAGATTTTGTTTAGTAGTTACAAGAAATGCTCATGCACACACATACGGCCTATTTTCAGAGATCTGAAGGCAATAGTTGAATTCCTTTGAGTAAAGTGTTGCTTATGGTTGAATTGGATAATAGGGACAAAACAAGGAAGCAATGACGTCAGGAATAAAAGTTCTTTAACGCGTTTTAAAATATATATTTACCTCTTCTTATCAAAATAAATTTTAAAAAAGAAAAGAAAAGAAATAAAACCGTCATGAACATAATCGTTAGAAAAGAAGATTTTCGTTTTTTAAAATTAAGTTTCCCCAAAAGCTTCAGCCCAAATTAAGGCAGACATTTTGTTTTTCCTCATGATAAAGAGCTAAGGGCTGATTCTGAATTGGTAGGTACATTCAGAAATATTAAACATGTTTCATAGAAGTCCTTTGAAAGCTTGTGACAAACTGCTTGGTTTATTCTTCTTAATTATTACGTTAGATAATTATAACTTCTTAATTTTGCTATTTTTGTGGGCAATAAATTAATCTTTTAAGTTAGAAATATTGTTGAATTAAATAAAACTGAGCAATGTCGGACATTTTTTATTTATTAAGATTAATTAATTATCCTTCAATAGAAATTTATATGATTTTTAAAACTACTGCTCGATCAGTGGGATCATGTTGTCAAAATATGTTCACTGAAATTTCTTAGGCACTGTTAGGAGCTGCCAAACATAATTTATAAAGTCAGTGGGGTTTGCCCACGTAATTGAAAGGAGTACATCAAACAGATCAAAGCAGCATGTGACCGAACAAAGCGATATGAGTTTAATGTTGGATGTAAAATTCTGAAATTGTCACCAGTGACTGAAGTGTACAGTGTCAGTTGATGAGTGACAAAACTGTCTGTAGACCGTTTCAATACTGGAGGTGTTGACATTAACCATAAACCAGAAGCCGCTAGTTATCCAGTTATGTGTGACTCGGTACAGTTAAGGAAGAAAGTAGAATAAAAAATAATGTCCCCAGAAGCAGTCAATGCAGTATTTTTTGTATCACTAGAGCTAAGCTACGGTTAAGATAAAGAAATTGGATTTGAGTTTCACTCAAGTTTACCGAACAGCAGCTCAAACAAATATGGAAATATGAATTGTCCTTCAAACGCATGAGATTAAGTCTTCCTTTCTTTATTGGATTCTCGCAATTGATGAAAAAATACGGATGTTTTATGACAAGAGAACGTGAACATATAGGTTCAATAAAGGAATACCTCTGAAACAAGTATCCAAACTTAACTTGTACCCCAGAAAATTTAAACCTCTGCTTGGTGGACTGCCCCAACTAGTACATTATGAGATTTTACCCGATAACCATTTTTCAGTAACATGTACTCACATCAGCTGGATAAATTTCACCAGAAGTTATCCAGCAAAAATAATCGCTTTTTGTTCCTATGAGTCCCATACTTCTACGAAATACAGCACTGCCATATGCATATATTGGATGCATGCAAAATATCAGTGCTTTTTAATACAAACTGCTGTCTGATCATTGTATTTTCACCAGACATAGCCGTCGCCGATATTCACGATTCGCTAGTTAAATTCCTTTATAAGGAGCAAACGGCTAACTAGGATGCTGTGATTCAACCTGCTTACAGTTTCTTAGCTACTGAACGCCAGCTTCTACCACTGTGGGATTTTTGTATCCAAATTACACTAAACACTGTGCTTTGCTTCTGAGTGTAGATAATTTTCTGAAAACTGAATTTGGCTGTTGCGTTTGCCCTTTTTTGTGTTAAAATCGCACCAATAATTGTTAAAATAGCTGAATATAAAAAAAAAATAAATAAAAAAAAGCTAAGCTTCAAGTTATTGAATGAATTCTGTTGTACCACAAATAAAACAATGCAGAAAATAGACTAGAATTTTAGAATTTTATTGTAAGCTATTGACCGTAAACTATAATCATAATATATCCAAAACAATGGCCTTTTTTTTAAGCAAAACGTCGGTTATTTAGTAAAAGTGCCGAAGAGAAAATTTTGGTAACAAATTTAAAATCAGTGCAAAAGATACTATCATTACAACGCCTAAGCTTTTACAGAAAAAAAAAGTATTTTACATTTTGTTTTTCAGTGCAATTCAGAGAATACCTTTTTGTCACAAAATATAATTCTTAATATTCCTACTGTAAACATCGTGATAATCTAGGCAGACTCCACTAACCATTTTTTCAATTATCAGTAGAGTTATTGTCAAACTATAGGATTGAAATAGATTGTGAGATTCTGGTTTTATGAGGACTACTTTTTAAATTTTTACAATAATTATACCAATAAATATGCAATTTGAAAGCAATATATCGCGCCGTTGTGCTTGATTCAGACACTACTTTTCGCAGGCTGCAAGATATAGTGCAAATTACGCCTATCCGGACTCGATTACTTATCGTGAATTCTAATTACTACCCTGATTTCTTTTGCTGAATAATGAAATAAAGTTAAGACTGCTGCAAACTTATTATATTTTTAATTTTTTTCATTAATTAAATGAAATAAAAAGATAACTGTTAGTTATTTTAAGTCAATTTACGTTATTTATATATAAATTATTATTTTAATAATAAAATAAAGTATTCAACAAATTTTAGTTGAATAGCAATAAGCATTTTGTTTTACAGAAAATAAAAATTCATTTGCGAGTTTAATTTAGCACAGAAAAATAAAAGATTATGTATTTAGTTTTCAGATGTTAGGCAAACAAAATTAATTTCATTGTTTAATTTTAGTTGAAATAGAAATAGGTTGAGTGCTTAAATAAAGAAAAAAACAATTTCATTATTTAATTTTATGAAAAAAATTATGTATTTTATGGAAATAAAACTATTTTACTTCTTTAACTAGTATATGATAGTTGTTAAACTGCGATAAATAAAAAAATGAATCCTCCAATTCATATTGCAGTTAAGTATTCCCACCTCATTCTTTTTACAGTATTTATATGCAATAAATAAAAATCAACTCAATTATCCGGATAAATTGGGAACTCATTTAGTCCGGATAAATGGAGTTCTTCTGTACTTGACAAAGTCGATTTTGGCAATGAGTTGAAACTTAACTCGCTAAACTATTTCAAGCCATGTGATTAGTTAATTCTTTCGTACATTTATTTGAGTAAGAATGCTAAATGAAAAATAGTAGTGCGAAGTACTGATGCAGCTCACGCTATCGCATAACTGAAAGATGCCATGCGAGGTAATTCTGTATTCGGTAAACCGACCGCAGTTGTTTCAGCTTCATTTACATATAAAGCGACCTTTTGCTTCATAATTAATCACGTGCTGTATTATCTAGCAAATTAGCTACACAAAAATGACAAAAATTTCACAAAAGAAGCACACGATTATTTGAACCTGCTAACTGTTTTAAGAAGTAATTATTACCCATTTTGACGAATATCGGATTAAAATAGTTTGACCGAAGTTCAGATTTTGTATACAATCAAAATCGTTGACGATTCTGGTTAAAAACTCTATTTTGAGATTTTAGTTAATAAAATCATACTTGCAGAAGTTTGAAAAGCAAGAACTAACGAACGGAAAATCCGGAGCTGAAGTAATGTAGCAAGCGCAGCATTAATGCAGAACTGTAGAGGAAAGAACTACGTAAAATTTGTTTTGAAAAGACCATTTGGTGATTACGTGATTATCTTGGTTCTAAAATTGGCTACGTGACCGCCATATAAGTATTCTGAATTTCCATTGGCATCGTATATTGTGAGATGTTGATTGGTGATCGAGTTGAATTGTACCCCGTTCATTCAGGACCTACTCAAACAGGCAGCTGCTACTACAAACTAAAAACAGGCAGCTGCATACCAAATAATTCTTTTGTTGTTGGTATTCTTGTAGTCCATAAGTGATCCTGTTTTTACAGTAACACAAATTACAATAAATTTTCATGCACAATTTAACATGTATATGTATAATAACAAAAATAACATACTATTTTTTAATTTAAGTTATATTAGCCACCCATTACCTTAACCATAATTTTATCAATGTTTTTAACGAATATTTTTATTTTCATTCACAATTATTTGTCTCAAATACTTCTTTCTTATAATCTCATGCTCTCGGAATCAAATTTCCTGTTTCGGAGAAAAAGCATTTTCTTCCGATAAGAAACACTTATGCTAATCTTTTAAGCTGCAGAAGTTAAGAGGTGTTAAGTTTAAAATAATTTTCTGCTGACGCAGGGAAACTTACTTCTTTGTTTCTTGCATTCATTAGGCGTTGATTACTGAAACTAATGCCAGGCAAAAGTTTAACTTTAGCGATTAGAAAGACCATAGTAGCTTAGTGGGATATGATGCTTAAGATGTCGACTTTTTCTTATGAATGTGCATGTTACCAAAACGCATTAAGTCTCTATGACATTCAGCAACGTTTCAGGACTCTCCGAGCCTGTCATAACATTTTCCAGAAAAGTATTCTTATGCATCCTGAGCTTCAGCCTTTGTCAGTGTGCTTCATTTGATCGACTGTTATCATCTATCATACTGCTGTTGCTGTGACCAAGACTGTGAGTGATATTTTTTTGTCAGTAGGACCAAACTACTTCTCCTAGATTTACGTTGTGGCTTAGCTGTAAATCAGGGGACTGTTCGCATGACCGCCGATTACACCTCAAAGGTATCTTCGCATACAACTTGCAGTATCAAATCAGGAAATATAATTAACTTACCTGTGATTAAGAGCCTTGGTCCTTTTAAATGCTGAATGATTCACCTTTTCATACTTCGTTTGTATGCGCCATGTAACGCCACTAGCGCTGAAATTCTAATTATTAGAACACTGTTTTAGATGGCATTTGCATTTCGAGTTTTGATCTTGTAACCAATTTTTTGTGCGCGTGTGTGTATATATTGTTATTGTTATTGTAACAGAGTGTATTACATACCGTATTTGAAACGTACGCTTGAAATTGATGGATTATTTGAACAGGTCCTCTTTTAAATTTCCAGCTAAATTGTGGGATTATAATTCGGAGCACCAGAAGCTTTTTACTGGTTAACTTTTTCTCTTGAAACAGTTCACTAATACCGACCCAGTTTAATATAGACTTCCATAATCGCAGTAGAATTCCAGCTATCCGACTCCTATATCCAGAACTCCAACTATCCAAATTGCTTTTTCTTTTTACTTGGTTAAATAAGATTAAACTTATTATTAAATATTATTTTTGTGAGACTCCTTTCAACGACTCACAATCTGTATGTTATTTGTCTTATTTAAAATTAGCCTTTTTTTCTAGAGAAGTCAAAGATATCTCTTTTGTGACAAATATAAGCTTTGATTAATCATATTTTCTTTCTCTTTAGTGGCAACATGGAAAGAATTGTCTCCCAGTGCTGGTGCTGACGACAGGAAAATGCGAAAAACGAGTAATCCAACTGCAGCGGGAGTTTCAAGCAGCTGTCGAATGCTCAAAGGATTTGACGACATTACCCTGATTCTAAAAGTACTCTGGATTGCATACTGGTTTCCGTTTTATTACTGGTGATGACGAACATTGTAAATATTACACTGTCTGCTGCGATCTAATTATCATCATAAATGATTGTTTAACTATAGTGGGGTTTCCTTAGGAGTATACATTTAGCAACCCGTTAGTTATTTTACAAATTATCCTTTCTCGATTTATTTACTTTGGTACAGTACTATATGTACATATATCATTTGCACATGTAACATTTTCTCATTTTTTCCGTTAATGAAGCGAAAACTTACTTCGCTTAAAGTAAGGAATCATCCAAAACACATTTTTAATCATTAACAGAAACAGATGATTTTGTATTTCTTTCCTTTGCATTGTTTATTTTGTGCATTAAAATTCCCAACTTCTGATGTATTTCATTAAAAAACAGTTATATGAAAAGTATTTCGTAATTTTCATTTTGTTTCATCATATTTGTTTTTATTTGTGTAATAATAACAAAATTACTGTGCTTTTCTAAGTAGACAGTTAATTCCTGTCATTTTTGCGAAGTAAAACATATGAATTAAAAAAAACTTCCTTTGTAATAAATATAACCTGAAAATAAAGAATATTTTAATGAAGGAATATTAAAAATATTTAGCTTCCTCTGGAATTTTATAATTTGCATTTCTGCTTATAATTTAAATACTGAAAACTTGTTTTTTAATTTATGTTTAGTATATTTTGAAAACAGAATTTTTTTTTTTTTTTTTTTTTTTTTTTTTTTTACTAAAACTACAATTGTTTATAACTATAAAAACTAGAATTGTAATTTCCAAAACGTAGAATTATTTGCAAGATGTACTGCGTTCAAGCTTTAGTAATCTGTTTTAATCAGCTACCTATGAATGAAGTCAAAGTCGTTTGAAAGAACTACACTGCTGGCCACCGTAAATGCAACACCCTGAAGGAAGCATGCAAATAACATGAAATTTACAACATGCATTAGCGGAGGTGAGATATGTAAATGATTAGAATTTCAGCGCACACGCACAAGGCATGAATTCAAAGCGCTATTTAAGGCTTGGAGTTTTCGACGATTTCAAGTTCGGCAATTGTGTTTTTTTTTTTTTTTTTTTTTTTTTTTTTTTTTTGTGGTGTTTTAAAAAAACCGATCACCTCGTAGTAAACAGCAATCATCATTTGATCAAGTAATCCGAGTTCGACAGACGAAGAATAGTGGCTTACCGAGAGTGTGGATTATCTTTCAGGGAAATCGGTAGCCGTGTTGGACGAAAACCAAACAACTATAATGCGGATATGTGACCGTTGGATGCGGGAGGGTACGACGGACCGACGTGTTCGATCGCATCCACCCCAGTGCACCACTTCACATCATGACAGCAACATTGTGCGCATGGCAGTGACGGATCGCTCAGTCACATCACGAACCATAGCACAGCACATTCAGCCTCTAACGCATCATCCAGTATCTGCGCGTACCATTCGACGCCGTTTACAGCAGACGCAAGACGTCCATTGCTTCGTCTACCCTTGACGCAGAACCACAGACGTCTCCGCCGCCCATGGTGCGATGAAAGAAGGATGTAGACGGCAAATAGAATGAAATTGTCTTTACTGACGAGTCACACTTCTGTCTGCAACACCACGATGGTCGGATTCGAGTCTGGAGACACGTGGAGAGAGGATGCTGAACAGCTGTGTTATGCACCGCCACACTGGTCCTGCACCGGGTATTATGGTTATGGGGCAGTATTGGATATCACTCTCGCACTCCTCTAGTACGCATTCCCGGTACTTTAAACAGCCAGCACTGCATCTCCGAGGTGTTGGAGCCAGTTGTCCTTCCTTACCTTCAGGGCTTGCCCACAGCCATATTTCAATAGGATAATGCGCGACCACAAGTGACACGCATTGTCCAAGGATTCTTCGTCAATCGCCAAATTGAACTGCTTCCCTGGTCGGCTCGCTCTCCGGATCTTTCGCCGATAGAAAACATGTAGTCCATGATTGCTGAACGATTGACCCAGATTACATCCCAAGCTGCCACACTAGATCAACTTTGGCAACGTGTAGAAGCTGCTTGGTCTGCCGTACCCCAAGAACACATCGAAAGTCTCTTTGAATCAATGCCGAGGCGTGTGGCAGCTTTGATCTCCAACAATGGCGGCTACTCTGACTACTGGTTCTGGAAGGAACCACACTTCATAGAAGTCTATAAATTTAATCATTTGATACTTGGTCAACATGTTATCTACTAAATAAATTTTGTTGTGATATCTCTTGTCTTTCTTGGTGTTGCAATTTGGGTGACCAGCAGTGTATATTGCTTAATTGCTTAAGTAAAAAAAAAAAAAAAAAGACTTAAGACTTGCATTAATCGTTTTCCGAACGATCACTCCATCTAAAAATTGCACATCGTTGGTCACACAGTGTCATCGAGTGCTGCTGCGAACACAAGACGGAGCTCCTAGAATTTTTTTTCTAATATAAGGCTAATTCAAGGCAATTTTTGTTATTTTCATTGATTTTGATTACCTTCTTTAATTATCATTCTTTTTCGGATTAATACACTGTAAAATAAATCCAATATTTATGCTTATAATGTCGCTAAAACCACATAAATCCCCCGATTTGATTAAGATTTGTACAATTAAAGGAATGAATGCTATTTGGTCAGAACAAGCGAGAAAAATCAGAAATCTTGCTTTTAAATCTAGATGTTTACATTTGAATCAATAACCACTTGTTAGTTAATTTTGTAATTATCGCAAAGTTTTACTCAAAGATTAAAAACGAACTGAAATTTTTTGAATTTTATTTTTAAAACTGATTTATGGTAATACTTTACATTCCGCTGTTATGTCATTGGAAACAGAATCATCCAGAAGGAGCCCTGGTTTCAAAACCTATTATTTATTCAGAACTGTAAAACATATTGAAATTATTCAAATATTAAAAAATGCTAAAAGATACCTGAAAATTTCCTAGATGAAACATCGAATCCTACTGAGGTAAAACAAAAATTTCTTAGCATTTTAACAAAGAATTATTTCAACAGTTTACGCAAAGAAACAATTATTCTAGCAACTACACTTGTTTGTGCTGAAACTTCAGTACACGAGAAAAAAATTTTGTCCATGTGTGTGCCTAAATGTTGAAAATTCAATGCATACGAAAATTTACGCCCGTATTGTGGGTGTTTATTTATTTTCAAATACCTGGCGAATGGCAGCTATGCTATTTGCCTTTTAGCGTCCCAGTATATTTTATGTGTGTACAGGTAGTTAAAATAATTGAGTGCAGAGCACGGGTAGAGGTGAGTTCCATTCATTGTTCGCCTAAAGCGGAATAGCTTCTCAGTTTAGCATGAAAAAACAAATGGGCACTAAAATAATCATGCCTTGTTAAGTGGCGAAATTCCGCAGCAACCCATTTGCGAGAAAGATGGGGAATGAAAAACTGCTTCGAGAAGACAATGTTGTTGTTACCAGTCTCGCTTGCCTGACAATTGCCAGCACAAGCCACGACACTCATTGTTGCAAAATGTAAAATGAGCCTATCGTTGGCATGAGGCTGAAGCACCGTGTAGGTGACAGCCCGAATTTAGCTCAGCACCTCCCCCAATTTTGAGACAGCATCTCGAGGGATTAGTCCAAGAGTCTCCCAAACCTTTATTCCTCTTACAACCAACCTCTCAAGAAGATTTTTGGCTCGCCACATATTTAGAGTGCCTCCGTGCAGCCCAGACACTATATATTTACAAACATCTGTGCCTTCTCCGGAATTCGAATCTAGGCCCTTCGGTACGGCAGTCGGAGTCACTAACCACTATCTCAACTGAGTGGCGAGAATACAATAACATGCCATTTCCGAAGACTGGTACTTGATTAAGGACAAATATTTCTTCCTAAAATCTTCATTTTTTTGAAATATAGCAGAATGATAGGCATAAGCATTTTTTCCCTTTTGGAAGACCCCCGTACCTCTCTTGATTAGCTAATATGTTTCTCATTTCACTTGAAGAGCAGTAGATTCATAAGACTTCATTTCATAATAATAAATATTCTAGCGATTATTATCTGGGAAAGGACAGAATTTCTGCAACAGGATCATAGCTCTTTTTCCAGTATCTCATTGAAAGAAGAAATACTTTGTCATCAAAAACCCGGCACAGATAGTTGTTGTCTTAACTGCACCAATAGTCAGCCGCAATGGTTGGTTCTGCGAAACTTCTACTTCGTTAAGCAGTCACCAACATTCTATTATAGTAACTATAAGTAGATATTTACATACTATATGTAGTCATTCACATAATATATGTTATCAAAAGAGTTTCCCTGTGGCAACCCCATTTCGTTGCAACTAACTGTTTCAAAACTGGAAGTCTTTTTTTCTACCTTTTCTTTAATTAAAGCAACATGATTGTTCCAAAATCAGAGACCTGATAGTATAATTCTAGCATAAAGGGTTGTTGATTTAAGGTAAAAAATTAATTGTTAGTCTTGTTCGAATTTAAACTTCTGCTATACTCTAAACATCCTTCACACAGCTTGCCAAAATCATCTTTCATTTTAATACTTAAAGACTACAAATTATTCTTTCCTGAGCTACTTCGGAACACTAGGTCGTCAGAAAAACATTACAGTCAGTATTGGCTGACTCATCAGGGTAAACGCAAAATTTAAATAAATAAATAAATAAATAAAGCAAAGCCATTAGCATTTTCAATTAATGAATAGGATCAGATCCTTTTAGCGTTTTCAGCCGGTTTACGAGTTAAAAAAGCTAAAATGTGAAACGGGAATCTGCCAACTTTTCCTCTACAGACCTCAGATTTTTTGGCAGTTTGAACGTGGAAATTGCAAAAACCCGCAAGTTAGGCATCAATTTATTTATCACAATATAACATCTTGTATGCTTGGCTATCATAAACTGAGCTCGACGTTAAAAGACTGTTTAGTGAATGTTCACTAAGTGTTTAAAGTGCTACAAAATCAGGAGAAAAGGTGTAAAGAACCGTTTATTAATTCAAATATAGATCACAGATGGCACCAACTGGTGCTTACGAATGCCAGCACTTTTGGCTTAATTCAAAAAGATAACGAATGACTTAAGTAATAACGGCTTCCCAGGTAAACTATCACGTAAGCTGGCTCTGACTCGAAAATTCGGCGTAAACCAGCCTAATGGCAAAAACAGCTCAACGCCACAGAATTATAATCGCTAGAAAAATTAAGGTTAGCAACGTGGCCTTCAGGCAGGCAGAACACGCTCTGATTTCGCCTTCCAAAACGTTCTCTTAAATCCTAACGTCTTTCTACCTCATTTGAAAACACGCGCGCTAGTTAGGTTCCATTCTAGCAAGAAAGTGTGAGTTGAAAACAAGAGCGATAGGAAAGCTACTTCAACATAAAATAACTGTTAAGTAAATTAAATAA